TTGCCCACAAGAACCAAATTGCCAATTGCCGTGGCTTCTCCGTATGTGCAATCCAGCACGGGTGTTATTGGGTTGGTTGACAAGCCACACAGAACCCATGGGAAGTTCTAGGGTTGTGGGTGGCTTGTCAACCAGCCCAACTACTTGCCTTCACCATGTTCACACGGAAGAAGCAACAGCATGTTCCTCCCACTCCCCGAATACTAAAGCTGATGGCTGCTTCTCATCATGTGCAAAACTGGGCCAGTGAGGGAAAGGATGAGGTGCCAGCTTTTTCTCTCTTATCAGCACTCCATGCTGTAGCCCCCACGAGAAGGCAAAGCAAGCAGGCAGAGGCAGCTAGGCCAGAGTGAGGCAGTTGCTTGCCTCAGGCTGCTTGATCTATGCAACTTGTCCCGAGCAGAAGGAGACCAATTGCCTCTGGAAGTAAAATGTCTTTGGGCCAGCCCTGCTCTAGCCAGCTCTGGGGACCTAAACCTAAAGTCATAACCATAGGAAAGCACTGTTGGAATCAGCCCACGTGAGTTTGCTCCTTGGGAAGAGCAGGAAGCACATAACTGTGGCATGCCTCATGTTTGGCTCAAGGAGAGAGAAACTGCAGCCTGAGGAAGCCTGGTGGATAGACTTAGTTTGAATCAAACTTGTACGATTGTTTATAAGGCAGAGTTTTCCCACTCGGGCTGCTTCCAGCAGTGTGATTCTGTGGGGTGCACTAGACCAACTTTGAAATACTGCTCATGGGGCGGTTCCAAGGAGTTCCCAGTTCAGGGCTCCCCTTTTCTTGCCCCTTTCTAGCCTGTTCTGAACAGCAGAGAAAAGCCTGAGCACCTGCTAGTCACAGTTGGATTGCAATCCTTGGGGTTCTTTTCCTTCAAAATAGAAGTATTTGACATCAGGTGTGGTTAGGTTCTCAATTGCACAGGTGACCTAGACCTAGCCAAGCCTGTTGATGGCACCTTGCTGTTAACAGCCCTGGCATCCCTGTGGAGACAATTTAGAATAGGAAAGCAGCACGTGACAAAGGTTATGCTTGCTTCTTCCCCAATATTAGTCTTCAGGTACAGTACAGGCCTGCCCTCATAGGTATTTTTAACTGAAAAGAAAGAAATCGTGGATTTTCTAGCATTCAGGTAGATTCTTTTCCAAATATTAAGTTTGGAGGCAAAGGGGAAGAGGCAAAATATTTGGGGTGGGAGAGGAAAGCTTCAAGCTGCTACTGCCAGTAATTAAGTCTAAGGAGAGGCATTGGACCTTTAGGAACAGCAAGTGCAGGGCGGGGCCAACTGAAGGCAGTGTGTCCAGCTGGATGGCCTGTATTGTGATCCCAGCACTGGGTTTCCTACTCCTGTTCTAGCATCTCATCTAGTCTATCTCACAATAAAACTGCGCCTGTTTAACCACAGGCTAAAGATAGGAGTTGCCCATACAAAATCATCATCTTCAGGAACAAAGCTGAAGCAGCATCTAGTTCCAGTACGAAGTGGGGGGTGTTTGGAGCACTATGCAATTCAGTGAGTTCCTCCTGGCATCTGATCAGTGGTTTGCCAGCTCAAAGAGACGGCGGCCTTGGCAAACTGAGATTACCCTATTTCTAGCACTCTGTGACAAAGAAAGTGGGGCAGCATGAGTCCTTGTGCGTGTGCATATATATTTACACCTTTGGTATGCCATTTCAACAAATTTACTCAGTTTCCTCATCTCTGAAATGGGACAAAGACCATTTCCCCATAATCCAGCTGTTGTAAGTGAAGAACAGAAAGCAGAAGATGGACTCTTGTACTTCTAAGCTTATACTGAGGCAGTGTATGTTTCAAGGAAAACACAGGACAACATATTTTTAGACAAGTGCCACATATGTCACAAAGTGCTTTTTTTTGGAAATCATCATCATCAACAACAAAAGGAAATCCATAAGTTAATCCAATCAATTAAAACACGAAAAAAAAATTAGCACCAACCTCTTCCCAGTCTTTACAGGATTTAAAAAATGTTTCCCAAGATGGAACCTTTACATGTGGATTAATCTATTGCTATCTGAATCACTTTAATCCAGATCTAGTGACTTTTCCTTCTGCTGCAGTCACTACCTGTGCACAAATAGCATCCATGGCTTTTCTTGGCCATTGTCAGGGGTCAGCCATTGACCAATGCTGCAGAGACGCAGCAGCCGCCACCAAGACTCTAGAGGCAGGCAGCACAGATCAGTTGCAGCTTGCTCACCTCCAAAAGGGGAAAGCGTGATGCTTATTAAAAATGCTTGCACTTCCATCTGCCATTCCAATGGCGCATCACCAAAGGCTTTAAAAAAATGATATCTATGTACACGTTCTTCATCCTCAGTATCTGGCTCTTTAGAAAGCCAGATAGTGAAGATGAAACTCAAATACTTTGGCCACCTAATGAGAAGGAAGGACTCCCTGGAGAAGAGCCTAATGCTGGGAACAATTGACGGCAAGAGAAGAAGGGGATGGCAGAGAATGAGGTGGCTAGATGGAGTCACTGAAGCAGTTGGTGTGAGCTTAGGTGGACTCCGGGGGATGGTGGAGGACAGGAAGGCCTGGAGGAATGTTGTCCATGGGGTTGCAATGGGTTGGACACAACTTTGCGACTAGCAACAACAATGAACTCAGTGAACTCTGGTGCTGAATTGAAATGGCTATGCAGTCAAAATGGGGCTACTGAAAATAAAAGGGAAGTGTTATGACCATGCTTGGGGAACTCCATAGTATACAGAAATAGAAGTTATTGAGAAGAACTGCTCAATCAGGACCAAACACACTCAGTTGCCACAGAGGGACTTGTCTCTGTGCACATCTCACTCATTCTCTGTGTAACTGATGTCCCTGTTCAGTGAGCCAGTCACACAAGAACAGTAAGCGGCACACAGAGAGGAGACTTGGGGATATCACGATTCTCAACTGGAAAAGGGAGAAGTAGCAACTGGAGAAAGAAGGCCTTTAGAAAGGAAAGGGCAATCCCTTTTGGGCAAGAGATGCAGAGGTAGAAGTGAACCGCTGTATCTCTTGTGAGCCCCTGGAACTGACCCTCTCTTGTCACAGCACCAAACTCTCTCTTGAGGATAATAAAATCAGGGCAGTCTTGCCTGAGCAAATTTTTTTTTTATGTATACTTCCATTTATATACTGCCTACAGCTGAAGTCTCAAGGTGGCTCAAATGCAGCCGCTCAAGTAGCTTGGTCCTAAGCTGCATAGAATTTTCAGCTATGCACCATCAGAAACAGACGGGTAGTCAGTGTTGTGATGAGGGAGTCCCACTTCCCCTGTAAACAGTCCCAGTAAATAATCTGGCCATAATACTCTGAAGTTCCTAGACCATTTTCAGAAGCAGCTGCACAAAAAGCATGCTGCAGCAGTCCAAAAGGAATGTAATGAAGGCATGTGTGACCATGGCCAGATCAAACATTTCTTGGAATGGGTGCCGTGGGTGCATTAACCTAAGCTGTGCAAACACTTCTGGCCACTGCCAAAACCTTCAAGAGTACACTCCCCGTGCAAACCTGAATCTAGTGGGATATTGTTAACTTATTTCTTATTATAAGAGAGAGAGAAACGTGGTTATTTCAGTTCAAATATATCTGTTTCAAAAATACATATATAGCATGTGTGTATGAAAATACTGGTTTCTAAAAGCTATAGGTGAGCTGCAATAAAAGAAGATCGAATGGCCAAATAAGTATCCATTTGCCAAGGGCATCTATACAGCACTCACTCAAATGTTTAAAGTGTTGCAGCATTATAGGTGAGCATTTATTCTTCCAGTGCTTAGCTGTCAGAAGGGTGCAGAGAATCCATTTGTGCTGACCATGCATTGACTTCCAGGAAGCAGGTAGATAATTTAAAAGAGCATGCCTATCAGGAAATTAGTGCTCCAGTTCAAAAATTATTTATATAATTATCGACACCCAAATGGGGCACTACTACCAAAACATAAGATTAAAAATAAGCATTACCTAATTACATCTTCAACAGTTAAGCACCTTAGACAAAATTTTACTAAAGAGATGTGATGTCCAAAAGACACAAAACAAACGGTTTTGTTGAATAAGACACAACCCGAGATCCATAGAAGTGCGGGGAAAGATGCCGAGGCGATCTATTAAGCAAAATGGGACAATCGAATTCCTTACTCCATTCCTGTTTATGATATTTATTGGTAAATATTTATAGACACGGTTCTTAAAGGGAACTAGAACCCCATTCAGCATAGGTGGAATCCCTATTCCTTTTGACCGCCCAGGAACACCCCAGTTTTGCCTAGGTTAAACTCCTCGCAAACTATCGATTGCCCACTCCTTCCGCTATGCAACTTGCTGCTGCTGTGTCCCTTCACAAGCGCGTATTGCTCTGTCTTCACTGCTGTGCCTCCCAACCAGACTACAACTGAGAGAAGGGCTTGTTTTCCTTGCTCAGTAATGCAGTAGGGAGAATTCGACCTCCCTGGGGAACACTAAGATCTGCGAGAAGCACCAAAGCCGCCCCCACCCCCCGCTTACAACCAATCCTCCTCTGTCTCAGGATCCCTATGATGGACTCCCACGTTTGAGGCATCTATCCAGATGTATCCCATCTTAGTCCTAGTTAGAGTAGGGCCATCGAAACGAACTGGACTTAAATTAATAGAACTCACTAACTTAGGTCCTATTCATTTCAATAGGTCTACTCTAAGTAAGACAACCGTCGCATACAACGTATTAGGAAGAGCGTAGAGCTATAATCCTCCTCCTTCCCCCCTCCTTTAGATGAAGCCAACACCGGCGGTGCCGACGTCACACGCTGCCCGGAATTCAGCTGTATTTCCAGCAAAGCAGTGGGAGGAGAAAGCCAGAGGGGGAATGGCCGGATGAATAATAAAAGCAGCGGCGCACGCTGATTGGCTGTCTGCGGCGACCCCAGCGAAGGAGCCTCAGAACTTGCAGGCGATTGGCGGGTGGAGGAGGAGAACTTGCAGGCGAGTGGTAGAGGATGTCGATGATGCTTAGGTGGAGGGGGCGGGTCTAAATCCACGGCCAAGCAGCTGGGGCAGGGCGAGGAGGGAGCGGCGACGGGAAGAGAACGGATCGGTCCCAGTGGTGGGCAAGGGACGCCGGGGGTCTGCAAGGTAGGCGGGGCAGGGGCAGAGATAGGTTTTCGGCCCTACGTTCAGTTCCGGGGTCCAGCCTCCGCTAAAGGAGAGTTTGTTTCTGAGCATGTGCAGAGTATCTCCTCTCTTCCAGTACTTGGGCGAACACAGCTAGACCACCGCAATAAAATAAAGATGACATTCTGCTCGCAGAGCGTCGCTGAGCTTTGGCGCCTTTTTAATGTGTGATTGAGCTGAAAATTCAAGGGCCCTAAATAAGGAGCTTTAATTGGATGGGGTTAGCTGTGGTTGGGAGAGAGTACTCTGCGTGGGCGGAGAGGAACTGACAGGGCGGGAGGACAGTCACGAAGGGTCCGTGCATGGCTGGTTTTCTGGGCGGAGGGAGCGGTGGGGACTGAAGGAGCTTGATTTATTCGCGTCTGTCAGTAGGGAGGTGTCTCAGCTGTCTTGCTCGGGTATGGATTGAGGGAGCCCTGGGCACAGTTTGCGCGGGGCAACATCGGATCCTGGAAGTATGCAAAGGATGGATTTGGGGGAGGGTGCGCCGTGTTTGGCCGAGGGAGGCGGGGCTCTCCGAACTGTTGGCTGACTGGTTTATGGTCGTTGGTCTGGTGGTGGAGGAAGGATCCTGTTGCGCTTATTTAGCAGACTGAGCCTGTGTGGGTGCTTTCTCCATGGGTTATTGTTCTGGAGTATTATGAACTCCGCAGGCACGTTGAGATGATGATAGGGAGTGCAGGGAAATGGGGAGGGGTTGGCGGCTGTCCGGATGGTTGGCGCATAGGAGTGGAAAGCCTCCGCTCCGTCTAGCAGTAGGAAGCGTGGCTGCTGGAACAGCCTTGCCCAACCTGGGGCCTCTGCAGACGTCTTGCACTGTAAGTCCCCGCATCCCCCACCCGCTACCATCCTGCTGCAATCCAACGGGTCTGGAGGATCTCAGCTTGGGAAAGACCATGATACAGGCTAGGAAGAGTGTGGGGTGGCACCTGACTGGGTTGTGTGATGGCAACTGGCACTGCCCTACACCCTCCTGAGTGCAGCTGGGAGATGCTATGCTCCAGACACCTGGCAGGCTTGTCTTTTGGCATCGCCGTTGGCTCTCTTCCCAATGCGATAGGTAGGGGTCATGGCTGCACGTGACTTGGTATCAGTCGTGGCCTCTCATTGCTGTATGCAGCTGCTGGAGTAATCGCTGTTGATGAAAACTAAGAAATGGGAAGGCCCTTGCTGGGAGCTCCTGGCACAGCTTGTCTTAGGTAGCAATATGAGCATAGCTTTTTCTCTGCTCAGCGTCCAGGAAGGAATCAGGTTTTGTATTTGCAGTGTGGCTTACCTGCCAAAGGCCTGCACAAGTTCCATTCTTGCCCCTGTGATGTCATGGAAGGTTGATCCTTCTGGTTGGCTTGTGACATTGCTGGCTGCCTGCTAATCGGAGCTGACGAGGCAACAGGAAGCTTTTGTGCTTCTGTTTGTACAACTGTCTCAATAGGTCACAGTGGGGGAGGGTTACATTATGGTGCAGAAAGCTCCTCTGTGAAACTGAGTAGTTCAAGGGTAGCCATCTGGTGAGGCTGTCGATGTTTACCTTTCTGCATTCAGAGATATGCCTTTATTGTTCAACTTCTTGATACAGTTTAATTTCCGCTGATATTCACAGATGGGCACTGCCGTGGGGGAGGGGCAGGGAGAGCTGTGTGGCTGCTTCAAAGATTGCAAAACCTCAAATTGCCTTGACAACTTCCAGCAAGAGTTGAGATTATAGTCCTTCATCAGAGTATTCAAATCTGTTTAGTTTCGTTATGCTAGATAACAAAATCTTCTGAGCCTCCAGGGATGGAGACTCTGTAGTTCTCAAAGTGTTTTTGGACTCCAGCTTCCATCATGCCAATGATAGCTGGGACTGTTGGGAGTTGTAGTCCACTAATATCTGAAAAGCTGCACATTGTCTGCCTGGCAGGTGGCTCACTGCTGTTCCAGCTAGGTGTTTCTGGTGCCATCTTCCCGGACAACTGCAGGAAATGGCAGTAGGGACCAAGACCACAGATACAAACCTTGCAAAGAAATGGGAGTTGGTAGCTTCTAACTGATCTGGGCATTTAAAGGGGTCAGCAATGTGACTAGCCCAGGACTTCTATGTTGGCAAGTGGTGCAGCTCAAAACAGTCAGGAGTCTATACTTAAGCTGTTCACTGGGAACAATCCATTCCCTGCCCCCTTTTGCAGTAAGTCACTTCTAGAATTCCTGGCCGGCTGCTGCTGCTGCTTTCCCAGCTGACATCCACAGTGTCAAAACCAAAGTACTGTGTCTGTCTCTGCGCAGGCTTTATAGAGGCAAGACGTGAATGAGCAACATCTTATTTAGAGCTTTGGTTATAAAGAGCTGGACAGCTATTTTATAAGCATAATCCATCATGACCTGGCAGGAAGCCCTGGCAGTACAGAACAAGTTAACTGTGTTAAGGGTCACACCTGTAAAACAGCTTTGCTTTCAGTCCCCCCCCCCCCGAATAATGGCAGAGAATGTTAAATCATATGAAATATGATTCTGTTAGAAGTTTGAAATCTTACAGGGTTGATCCGCTCTTAAGATCTGGGCCTCCTTGCAACTCAAGATTTCTGATGAGGGCTTGCTAGTGTGTAGAATTCATTGGGAAAATTAAGTGTGGGGGGGGTTGTAAGTTAAATCAAAAGTTGGTGATGCTATAATTCTGCTGAACTGTGAGATACTGAAATGAAACGTTGTGCATATGTTTAAGGTGCAAGTTCACTTGTCAAGTTTGCGTATCAGTTTGACCCCCACATCTTTTTTCAGGTTAAAAACAGCCCTATAAAAGGCAGGGTCAGGAAGTCTTGAAGGACTGCCAGCTCATTAAGATAATTAGCAGAGGCTCTGTTACAGCTAGAGAAGCTCTTGGGGAACCAAAGGGGGCATCTTTTGTACTTTGGAACTCCCTATTTATTCGTCTTTTTCACATCTGCTACTATATTAGCTCTTCTTAACCACCTTGAACTTTTTAAGGGTTGTGAGATAAAATGGAATATATGTATATTTTAAAACCATTTTTCTTGGGGTTGATAGGAGTTGTAGTACAGCATCTGTGCAAACTACCAGGTTTGGGAAAGCTGTTTTAAACGAATCAGTGAAAATGCAAGGCAGTATTGTATCTTCCATAAAGCCTGAAGCTTTGGAGCAAAAAGTGTGTGCAATTAGATGTTTCACATCCAAATATTCAGAAGGCAATTCCGCATTCCATGTTCAAGCCCAAGTTCTATTCCTGCACTTCTGTTTAAGAGGACTAGTGATCGAGGCACCTCCAACACAGTCTTTAAGGGCACAATTTTGTATTGGACAGACTTCGTGAAAAACCAAAGGTGAAGTGATTCCATAGTGTAAGATGGTCAGAGAAATGTGAGCATGACGCAGAGGTTCTCTTCCTGGGTCAGAAGATGGATCTAATTGGGGCAGGGGAAGGAAACCTTGCTCCCACAGGGAAAGTCCACCAAGGGCAGCAGACATAGTGAGCAGAAACAGAACCAGTGGTGGATAGATCCGGAGCCAAAAGTGGGTGAAATTTGCAACATTACAGAACTTCAGGGTGCATGTTTCTCCTTTTCTTTCTGTGCCACCCTCTCACTATGCCATCTAATGCCTCTGTGCGGCAAAAGTAAAATACTTTTTTCTGCAGGTAGTAAACAAGCTTATCCATGAAAAGTGTAGCCTAGCCTCCTCTTCCTGACATGCTAGCTTTTTAAGTACAAGGAGTATTGTGCTTGCATTGAGGAGTTTTCAGGTGCAGTTGGGAGTTGTATAATCCAGTCACACATTTATCAGTTTGGTATGAATTTGCTCCAGTTTGGCATTGAATTTTCAGTGGTACTTAACCACACACTTCTGGGAAGCTCATTTGAAAGATCTGGAAGAACAGACCTCTCTTCCTTGCCTGCCAACTATTCTTCTTTGCCTTCCAGCATGGAAAAACAGCTGCATAAACCTCAAATATTATTGTTATGAGTGGGTTTATTTTATTGTTCTGTTCAAAAATTGCTAGAGTCGATTGTCCAATGTTTAAAGAATAATGTTTCCATATGCCTTTACAGTGATGAAGCTTCATGCTCTTCTTCCAACTCCAACTTTCTCCTTGTTCTGCATCTGCTCTTTCCAAATGAATCAGTGTGATCCATTTTTTAACCTCTAAAACGTGTGTAGACTTGTAGGGACTCCAGTTTTTGTTCATTTGTTCTAGTGGCCCTGCCATTTGAGAGGAAACAGTTTAAAGTGCAGCAAAAATTAAATATACATCAGAAATGGGTGTTTATAACAGCTGCAAATAGATTGCATAGTCTGCAGCTTATGCTGTATCCTGCTCCAGTCAGTGTTCTAATTAGAAGAAATGGATGTAGTACAGAGGTGGAGCAGATGTTTTGCACACAGAATGTAAAGTTCAATTCCCAGCATCTTCAGGTAGAGCAGGAAAAGCTCATGTCTGGAACCCTAGAGAGACACTGTCCTTCTAGCCTACATGATCAATGGACAGGTTCTCACAGTTACAGTAAGGGACATAAGCCATGGATTATTTGATGGTTGCCCCCTCCTCAGACAAGCCATACTGCCTGAGTTCAGACGATATGCATGCTGCACCAGTGAAGGGTAATAAGGCTGGTAAGCAAATGGCACAAATTGCCACAAAGTCAGAGAGCGAAACTTGGGATAATTTGAAACAGGTAACAACAGTTATCACAGAGCCTCACTGTTGCCCCCCCCCCCCCGATCCGTCAGAAAAGGAGCATGCGGTCTGTTCCCCTCTAACACACACACACACACACACACACACACGCTCCCTTTCCTTTCTTCACTGTTGGAACTTTAATTTCATTTGCATTTCTTTGGTATCAGCTTTTTACTGAAAGATTTTTAAACCAACCATGTTGGTTATACGAGAACCAAGAACCCTTATTTTCCCCTCTCCCTCTTCTTCTAACTGTTCACTTACCTCTCTCACCTCTCTCTATAGGTATACA